TTCGGCTGAAGTCCTGGCCTTGGTTTCAGTTTGTTTAGTTTCTTTTTTTTTTCGCGCGATTGTGGGTACAGAAAATAGCGTGGTTGGTGATGGACAGCTACGGCACCAGAATCAGTCATTTTTTTGTGATCTCAGAACAGCTTTGGCTTTAAATTCACTTAGGAGGAAAACTACTCTGTCGCACTTGTCGCGTTTTAGTTACGTACATGGACTCAGTCAAAAATTTGTTTTGTTTCGATGATTTCTCTGCGCATATGTGCTCCTTTTAGAGACAGAGGAATCTTCGTTGTCAATCACGCCAGTGAGCGCAAAAAACAGCGTCTGTGAGCTTTGGACCCCCCCCCCCCCCCCCCCCCCCCCCCCCCCCTCTACACTCACTTTCCACAAAATAAATGTCAGAAGGCAAACACAAAGGCTGGTCGCGGAGACGTCGATATTTGTGTCTCTGTTCAAAAACAAAATACGAGTTCTGCACGCTTCGTATTTCCGTATGAAATAGGCCGCAGTATGAAGCAAACGGGCGACAGAGGTGATACGAGTGGCCCTGCAATCGCCACCCTGATTACTAACAGCTTCCATAGTTGTACATACAGAATTCTAAATCATCAGCGGATCGGTATATGGCACACCTTATTGAATTCATGGCGTCGTTGCATTTCCAAAAAAAAAAAGAAAAAACCCACATGAGCTCATTTGAATTGAATAAACGTCATTACGTCACATATCTCTTAAATTTGTGATATCATCGTTATGGCTACGTATTTGGAGTGTCATACGGTTGCATCACTACCGCATTACGTCGCAAGATTACGTCATCAATCGACATCGTAGATTTTGTCGACACCGGAGGTAGTGCCACGCCTCATGAAGTGGAGAAAGCTTCAGTGGAGCGGCACGCCTTTCGTAGGCCTTTCGTCACATCTGTCGTGTGAAGGCACCGGCCACCTTGGCGCAGTTTTGCGTGGCAAGTATGGGCCCACCGCGCATACCCACGCTGAGGATTTGCCAAGAACCGGGCAGTTTTAACAGAATACTTTAATTTTTTTGCCTATGTTTTTTAATGATCAAAGACCTGAATAAAAATAATGAAAAAATAGAAATTGACTAATAAAAATTACGGATATAGAACATGAAGTAGATGATTTCAACAAAAACAATAACAATAACAACGATAGATAGTTAAATATATAAGTAAACATTAATAAAAAATAATAAAAGTACTTTGGGAACAAGTATTCAATGCCTATTCACTTTCGTTATCATTTTGTTCTTGCCTTTCTGTCAAGGTCGCCTTCTCTGCGCTGTTCCTGTTAGGAGGCCAGGTTAAGATCCTGCCTACGGAAAACTAGGTCAGAATTCACGCATCTGTTTTCTCCGTACTCGGGGAAAGATACTCCTACTAAAAAAAATATGCTAGCCCGTCACTTCAACATTTTTTTGTTGTTGTATGAAAAGCCGGCACTCTTGTTTCCCATAATGTGGTGCTAACGCACCCCTTCACGAGCAGACACAGCATGCGGTCAGCTTTCATACGCTGCCATCCACACCCGCCTTGTTTGAACATTCTGGGGGGCCGTTAACTGGTCCAGTTATAACTCGCTTCACATGAACGTTCGCGTACCGTTGCAGCTCCTGCAAACACGGCGTCCGAGACCAGCCAGGGCAAAATGAACTACGTCGTCGTGGAGAAGATCGGGAAAGCACGGTGCGTAATGCGTCGCGTGCAAGGCAAAGCCCAAGTTCAACGGCGAAATCCTGGGAAGAAGGTCAGAGTCAAGCGCAAAGAGGAAGGCGTGCCGGCCACGTTCGTACGAGAGGTGTCCATCCACTGGCAGCTAAAACACGACAACGTAGTGCGTCTCGTGTACGTTGTCATGACGGCGTCTGAGGCTGCACACTTGCTCTTCGAGTGTATGACCATGGACCTTAGGAAGCACTTGGATGCACGGCCCAAGCGCAAGATCCTATAGATGGCTCCGTCGTTCAGAAGTGCCTCAGTCATATCGTTTATTAGTGTGGCAGCAAGGTCAACAACACTTCGAAAAAAGAAAAGCAACAATGCGGTGTGGTATCCTCCTACGTAGGTGCTTCCAGCTTATTTCATTGGGGCAACCCTCCAATGTCACAGGATAGTGAAATCTGGTCAAGTGACCCGCGAAACTCAGAATCAGAAATCATAATCAGAACTGCTTTTATTTTCCATCGAAGTTGTTGGGGGTACTCCAGGCGAAAAGCTGCATAGTACAACTTGAAGGTGCCTGAAGGCCCTCAAAATGCTATGCATACATCTGTTAACAGCTGTGCCAGACACCGCGCTATCCGATGACGTCATCATGTTCACGAAGTGATTAGTGAAGCGTTCAGTTAATGCGACGGCGGTGATCTTTTCATTGTTTAGGGTGACTTCATGGAAAGGCTGTTTCAAAGTTTTTTGTCTTATGGCATCATTGATAATTTTCCACGTTTTTTTTTCTTGATTTTTCCTCTGTACCGAAGTAAAAAGGGTTTCATATTAGTGGGCTTTAGCCTTTCGCAGTTCTTTGTTTATTGGATTTCATAACTTCTTAAATGCAACGAGATCGCTTTGATAACGCGTGCGTAAAAATCTATTGAATAACCTATTTTTCTTACTTATCATCTTAACGTGTTCAGGCTGCACCCAAGGCTTTCTAACACGTTTCTTTACTTTGACTTTTTTTAGTGGAAAAGATAAATTGTAAGGATGAGTGAAAATTGACAGGAATTCGCCGTATGCCTCACTATAGCATCTTTTTTGTTATATAAAGAGGGCCAGTCTGTGCGCAGTGCAAGTGCGCGGAAATGTTGCATATTTTCCTTAGATAGACATCTATAACTGAACGTGGTATCAGGCAAGCATTTTTCATTATAACATAAAATGAGCATACTACGTATATTGGGCAGTAGTCGCGGATATCAGCTGATGGTCCCGGCTGTATAAATCTGTGTACCAGCGTTAACTATGAAATTATCGAGAGCCGATTGAAAAGATGCCGTCACACGAGTAGGTATTGTGATAGCGCTACAAAAACAGATTGAATCCATAAGGTTAACAGTTGCACGGGTCGAAGTGCCATCATCGAGCATGTTAATGTTGAAGTCGCCACCAAGAAGAACTTTGTACTTGTGAAAAGAAGCCTGCTCTAAAAGTTTTTCAGTGAATTCTAAGAAATTAGACACGCTGCCAGTAGGTTGTCGGTAAATCACGACATAAAGAATGTTGTCCGATTCAACGCTGAGCACTTCATAATGGGGCGTGGTGCAGGTGAATTCCTCAAGCACATCGCAATGTATGCCGCGCTTAACATGCAGTGCAACGCCACCACCACGTTTTCCTGCGCGATTAACAAAGAAGTGGCTATACCCATCAATGATAAGCATTTCACTGTGTTCTTGATACCATGTTTGAGAGAACATAATAACATCAAATGAAAAAGTAATCTTGGCAAGAAACATTGCTAGAATGTCTTGCTTATGAGCGAGTGAACACGAGTTCAGTTGAAAGGCAGAAATATTTCTCCCGTGTGAAGGCAGGGATTTTCAGGTGGTAGGCTTAATTCTCGATACATTGTGCAGTCAAAAGGAATATGAAGACTTTAAGATTACGTATATCGTATTCTACGCGATCTTTTGAAGGTCAGCCTCGGAAGCAATGTGGATTACACTGCTAGCTTCAGTTTTGCGCGCAAGTACCTTTCCGTTTCGCGTCCAGACAAAGCGCCCATTGATATTCACGCCTTCATGCCAATGCAAATGAAGGAAGACGCTTCAACGCCGGGCGTAGATGCTCATTAACAAATAATCTGGCATCATCAGGAATTCCAACCTGGTTATTTCGCACCCTGGGCTTCCGCGCCTTTTCAAGGACAGTGTCCCTCTTCTGTACGCTCTGGAACTGAACAATTATGTTAGACTTTCCAGGTTCTCAGGTGGGCACACGGTGACAAAATCCAATATCAGAAGGTGCTATGTGCTCACCAAGTACATCACCAATTTTTCCAACGAGTCCTGCAACACATTCGTTTTCCTGTTGTATAAGCCCTTTAATTTCTACGTTTGACCTGCGCGATAATTGCTCAGATTGAACAACTCTCTTCTGAAGTTGCTGAATGATGTTATCATTCTCTTTGCACTTAGCACGCAGCTCTTCATTAGCTCTCCTCAAGGCTTCCCTTTCCTCTGTGGCCTCCCTAAGGCGCTTTTGCAGGTCCTCGAACTCATCGCTCATAAACTTGACACTGTTAAAGACTTCATTTCAGCACGAAGTTTCGAATTTTGGATCGGCTTTCTCTTTCGTTCGTAGGCTTCGTCATGTCTTTCGAAATGAAGAATATAACAGTTGAAACAATGTACAGCGCAAAAACAAGTGAACAAGTGAACAGCAGGTACACAGCAACACAGAAAGTCAGCAGCGACAGTAAATAATTCAGTTATGAACTGTACACCAACCTGCAGTACAGGGAACAGTTTTTAGCGTTGCGCCGATGTGCCGTCACTGCTGCCAAGTGTGTGTCCAGTGCCAGGCAAGCGGCTTTTGTAGGGCTTGTCCCGATGACGTCGTCAGTGGTAGAGTAGTCAGGGAAATTATGAAAGCAGACCAAGGCTCACGGTTACCAGCAAAATTTGGGATATCTGCAGTAGAGGGAACAGGGGCCGGATTCACAAAACTCACTTACGAAAAAATGTTCGCGCAAGAGAAATTTTGTTGCGTAAGTTGATTCACGAAACGGAAAAAACGCCATAAGAGGTCATCGTTGTCACATCGGCCGCTACAACAATGCGCGCTGCGACTGCCCGGGAACATGTCAGCGATGGTGATGCAGTTGCTATATTTGCTTACGTCATCGAAAAGTCCTCATAAGTGGATTCAAGAAGCAAAATTTTGCGTAAAAACAGCCTGGCTACGAAAATATCCTAAGTGTGATCCGCACCACTCTTACGTACGATGTGGCTGCTTAGAAATTGCAGCCGTGGCGGGATACATGGGTGCCCTGGCTGATTCTGAGTTCATTGATGGCCATGTAAGGCTGCCTGATGATTGCTGGTGCGTTTTGGTTTATTCCAGTGCTTTGAGTTCGTTTGTTGTTTCCCTCGGATGCAATGGACAGTATTGGCAATCAAAATCATCCTATAAGGTTGGCACCGCGGTAATTAAAGAATCCTATTGGGAGTCAGGGGCGTATAATGATACATGCAAAGACATGTGGGTGGATGAAAACCAAAGTGCGGTGTGAATGGTTGGTGAACTCGAAAGCAGCGCAGTATATGGTTAAAATGTTTTGTTATGTTGTTGTGGTGCGTTCCACATCTTCCAATAAAATGTACAACTTGTGATGTCTGCCCGATCTGTCGAGATTACCACCAAAGAGTTTAAGAAGAGCACACCACCTTGATGCTATTGGATACCGGAGTGAGAGGAACTTTTATAGTTAGCCATTCATAAAGCCTATTCTGTGGTTGCACTTTCATATACTTCGATTGGATATAACTGTCCAATGAACACGATCTGTGAAATACAGCTGTCGATGCACTTTTGGACGATCTGGAAGGGGTGCGTACGTTGCAAATGAAAGCGTATTGGGGGTGTTCGTGATGATGCATCAAACTGCAAACAAATGCAGCTTTTCCGCGTTCACTCTTTGAAAACTGAAGTTGGGTGCGTTAGTATGGCAAGCAGTCAGGATATAACCACCTTAGTAATTTCGAATGACACCGGAAATGTGCAAAGCCTCACAATTCTCGAGCAAACCTTGGCGGAGGCTCGTCCCTTCGGCAATAAAAAATCATTTAACTTGGCGTAAGAATATCTGTAAAATGTGGTGCCAGACGCTGACGCCTGTTTTGTGCGAATCAGAGACCACTTGTCCTGGAAATCATTTCGTGACGACGGTGAAACAGCCGAAACCCCCCATGCGTGCTCCCATCGAAGCAGACGACAGCTAAGTTGTGAGGCGCAGCTTGTGATTGGTTGACAAGTGGTGCTCTCACTTTATGACGTTGCAAAACGCTTCTTTCATCAGGCATTCCTGTCCTGTTCGACGTATCTTCCCCCTCACATATAAGAGCATATTTTTTCTTGGTCGAAAAATCGCGCAAGTGATTTTTCCAAGTTATTTTAGCGCCTATCCCTGCTGCGTAGTTTCTAAGAACAACATGGCGACCTAAACAATTGCAGGGGGTCATTCCCGCGGACACCAGTCGCTGTACTGTGGATTCCGTTGCCCTTCCGGATTGTGCAGGCTGTGCGAAAACCGAAGGCAGTGTCTTTTGGTGAACGGTGAAACGTGAAATGTGTGCCTCGACGTGTTTGTGGTGAGGAAGAAGGCGCCAGCGCTTCGTCGTAGCCAACTTCTTAACGGGGCCTTCGAAGATACTTCAAAGTGTGTTTGAATACGGCTGACAGCTCGTTCGCATCGCCTTCCGGAGTAATTTGTTCATCTGGCATCGAAATCCTTTGGTCACGTAACTTGAGTTATCCTGAAGAGTTGCTGTAACTCATAAGCGAGGCTGTTTATTGGATTCCGGTTTCAGCAATGCGCTTCTATTGTCGCTGTATTGTGGACTCCGTGGCTTATCTCTGTGTTGGGAATCCCGTTGCGCCTTCGGGGGTCCAAGTTGTGTGAAAATCGACGGCAGTGTCTCTCGGTGAGCGGTGGAACGTGAAACGCCTGCTTTGGCGTGTTTGTGGAGAGGAAATAGGCGCCAGTGCATCGTCGTAGCCGACTTCTTTACGGAGCTTTCAAGGTGTGTTTAAAGACCGCTGTGCGCACGTACGCATCGCCTTCCGGAGTACTTTGTTCAGGTGCAGTGTGATATCTGGCATCAGAATCGCTTGGGCAAGTAAGTTCCTTGACTGATCATGAAAAATGGCTGTAACTCCTAAGCGACGCTGTTTTTTTTATTCCGGCTTCAGCATTGCGGCCCTATTATTATTTTTCTTACTCGTACTCGAAGAAAGCGCTTTTTTCTATAGAGCAGCGAAGCTCAGTGGAACGCTGGTTCTGTACTAACACATCCAAGGCCTGTGCGGAGGCTGTGTGACAGCAGGTCAATAGCTCAACGGTGTTTACGCCTGCGTGTCTTCAGACTAGCGATTGCAGGTTTATATTGCTACAAAGTTGCCGAGATGCTTTATGCGAACTACAAGGATTCGACGTAGCTTTTTGTGTCAACTCTTTGCTTCTCTGGTTGCTATGGTAATCTCAGCATCGCGATGGACAGAACCGGAAGTCACAAACCTATGCGTTCTGCTATAAATATGGGTGCATCGGCAGCTATTACCCTTGACCTATGCTATCCGAACCATGGAGTACGTCCTGGCAGCCATCGCTGGTCATCGGCAACCTTCCCTCCGGAGAGAGCGCACCTTCCACCGGCGCCTAGCCTTGGACGATGTTCCAGACCAGCCACTGCGTTACTGCAGGTTCCCGAGGGAACATATTCGGACCCTTTGTCGGACTAGAGCCTCGACTGCAGCGGCCTAAGGCGCGGTCTCGCGCCTTACCGGTGGATGTGCAAGTGCTGCTCGCTTTGCGCTTTTACGCAAGCGGCAGTCTGCGGTAGCGTTGGCATGAGCCAATCGAGTGCGTCGCGCATTGTGGCACAAGCCATAGAGTTTCTCAAAATAAACTAGAAGGCAATATGGCGGTGCAATCATTCAGCGACCATGAGAATGTTGGGTAGTACACACATTTGCCTAGTCTACGTACTTGCGGGCGGCGAATCGTACTTGCGGCTCCGTTTATTGCTGTGTTTCGGTTTTGTTTTGAAAGAAAGATTGAGCCCTTTTGAACTTCGTGAGCCAATTCGGGAAGTAAGTCTTAAAAAATAAAATGGTGAAGCGCAACCGCTGAACATTTGCTAATACTTGTTTCGTAAGAAAACAGCTGCAAGCCACACGAACACACACGGAGCCAAAGGCAGGCCAGAAGTACGAAGATTAGACAAATGTGTGTACTACCCATCATTACCATGCTCGTTGAAGCGCCGTGCGTTGCAGCTCCCATCTAGCGCCAGAGTTCCCTCTAGTAAGTATTGTGGGAATTTCTATGGCACAAGTGACGCCCTGTGCTCGCTGGTTGCGAAGCACATACGCTTCCCGGCGACACTGAGGGCTGCTAATGCTACGGCCATCAGTGAGTTAAACTTTGTAAACTAATGTTGTTGCATGACGTGTCATAACGGCTACAGTGTTCTGTTAGTGTGGCAAATTTAATGTTAACCAGTGCAAATCTCTTGAGAGCTACTACTAGGCTACCACGCATTTTGGTACCAGTAATAATTTGCAGAAAATCCTGCTACACGAGGGAGATGTTTCTACAGCTTACATTGTTGAGCAATTTTTTGTTGTTTGCCGTAAGCACTGTTTTCCCAGTTTAATTGGAACCTTTCTGTTCACTAAGAAGTGTCACAGTCTTGGGGAAAGTAATTGATGTAGTTAACATTCCTGGACTCATCAAGTTGTTTTTACAGATTATTTTGATTTCAGGTCACTAGTTGCACGCAACGTTATTTCGGTGGCAGCACCAATATGTCACCAGAATGCACGGTTATGCAGCACAATTTTTATTTCTTTATCATACACTGCCTTGCTCACCATCTTGAGAACTTAATCATTTGTGAAAAGTCTCAGCTCACTTCTTTACGAAATATACCGACATACAGAGCTTGGGGGGTATTTCACAGTGTTTCAAGGTGCTGAAATGTCTGAGGTTTCCCTGACGAAATGATGTCATTATCTTACTGGCTAATATGTCTTAGCAGCACTTTCAATTGCTGTTCATTCATGTTCTTTTCTGCCTTTTCGCAGATAGCTGGGTTCCCCAAGGTCCTGGGATGCATTGATGGCACTCATGTGCAAATCAAGCCTCCTAAGGACCAGGAACACTTGTACAGGGACCGAAAAGGCCTGTACACAATCAATGTACAAGCGATCTGTGATTCTGAGGGTGCCATTAACCAGCTGACATCGAAATGGCCCGGCAGCACCCACGACAGCTTCATCTGGGCAGACTGTGACCTTCGAAGGTGCTTTCAGAGACGGGAATTGCCCAACGGCTGGTTACTAGGTTTTTTCTTCTGAAAGGTATACTTGCGAAAAACAGGAAAGCATTTCGTGTGCTTGCATCCTGAACTTTTTTTAAAATGTTTTATTAGTAGCTGTTTGCAGTGTTCTCACACAAGGGTGTTAATTGTACTCTCGTTATCAAGTATACCGGACAAGGACCAATGATTATGCAGAGATTGCTCCAGTTTAATTTAATATGAACAGGAATGGCAAGCTTTAGTTGTTGAAACTTTACGGTTCCTGTTGTCCTTCGCAGTGCTTGCAAGCCTTCTCTCTCTCTCTCTCTCTCTCTATACATATATATATATATATATATATATATATATTGGAGGAGCGTTTGTCGCCGGATCCGGGAATAATAGGAGAATAAAAGGAGTTTGACTCACAAGTGAAAAGATTTTTTACTTGACGTTTCGACCGTGGGCCCGGCCTTCGTCAGAATGAAAACGGTTTTTACTTGACGTTTCGACCGTGGGCCCGGCCTTCGTCATTCTGACGAAGGCCGGGCCCACGGTCGAAACGTCAAGTAAAAAATCTTTTCACTTGTGAGTCAAACTCCTTTTATTCTCCTATATATATATATATATATATATATATATATATATATATATATATGGGTGTGTTTGTTGTTTGTGGGGGGTTGTGCACATACATACATACATTTTGCTGTTTGCCACTGGTTTGAAGACAGTTGCAATTTAAACCTGATGCCACTAAAATGAAGTAATAGTGCATTTAGCCTGTGTTACATAATTCTGCGCCATATTTCCTTAGGCATTTTAGCACTGTAGATGTTTTCAGGCTATATGTGATATCTTTAGGTTTTTGTTCATTTCGGCCTATCACCTGTGACATGAGTACACCCTTGTTCCTCTGTTAAGGTGGCTCTGGGTATGCCTTAGAGCCATGGCTGCTCACCCCTGTAAGGTCTCCGGTAGGCCCTGCCAATGAGCAGTACAACTCGGCCCACACTCGGATGAGGCAAGTCATTGAGAGGACCTTCGGGGTTCTCAAAAGACGCTTCAGGTGCCTGCACCAGTCCCGGGGTGCTCTACAGTACAGTCCGCTGATGTGCACCAAAATAGGGGTGGCATGCGCCATGCTGCACAACATGTGTGTGCGACAAGGCATTGACTTCAACTTTCCTGATGGTAAGTGTTTGCTGTAGCTGTAGTAGCTTTCTTAACATGTTTTGCAGAACAACTGCTTGGGTAGAAGAAATATTGAGACAACAGCTGCTCTAGCAATTGCCAACTGTCGTGCTGTTTTAGAAAGTGATCTTGCTCAAGCTTCAAAGATGTGCAGAAGTAGATATTTCATTCCTCATAATGAAAAGTTCACTGTTAGCATGGTCAGCTCCTACTTCACAGCTTGGTTCTTTCAGTAAACATCGAGCTTGCTCAAACCACTTGACATGGTTTGCCGGTTCCTCTGTGTAAATGTTATGAAGTTTCTACATACCTGTACTCGTAAAAGATATGCTGCGAGTAATAGCACCAAAAGATATTAGTGAGGGTTTGGAGAAGAATGGTTGTGCTGCACATGTATAGTAAATTCAAATGAGAGTGTGGTTGCTAAAACGCGTAGCACAGGAACAGGGGTTCCATGTATCATTCCTTTTTTATACAAGTTTTTTTACCCTTGTCAGTACGTCAATGTTGCTCCAAGGGGGAGGGAACTTAACACTTTTTCCCTGTCCTGGTAGTCACACCGCATTGAGAGCCACATAGTAGAAGACCGTGTGCAGTGTGATGTTGATGCATCTGAAATGAGTGCTGGATGGTCGATTTATCCTGAGCGATGCACTATGGTATATCGCACGTTGATATGTCTGTTTTGAGATCTAAAACCTTAAATATTATTACGATTAGATCAATATAATTTATGTCAGATTTATAAAAAGGCAAAATTACCAGATGTGACAGTTCCTGATTTTCATGGAAATATGTTCCTATGAGCAGATAATTTTTCATATAGTTTCCTGTTTAAAGCATTGTGATTTTTCACCAAACTCAGGCACACCACTGTGAGCTTCACAATTTCTTACCTTTGCTAAAATTTTGCAGCTTGAGAGCTTTTGTAGTGGGGAAATATTTATAATGTTTGTTAGGCTAAGCAAAATGGTGTCAGTGTGCTTAATCCATGCTGACAATTACTGCCATAACATAGTCTATGAAGGTTGCATTAGTAAATGCATCATTAAAGTATGCATAGAAAATATGCTCGTTTTTCTTGGCACAAAGCTTCTTGAGCACCTTAAAGCCTGATATTAAGACACTAGTTAGAAGAGGATGTGCAAGGTTTTGCTTCACAAGAAACATGTGTTGCAATTATGTAAAAAAATCTGTTAACAGGAATTGTGTCGAGGGAACCAACAAACTTGTCTTCCTCGAAGTTCTGTTCTTTCCTTGAGGAAGAGGAGTCAACTTGTGAAATATTAGGTTTGACAGAAACCTCATTTACAGATTTATTCATTGAAAGCTTTTATCGTCTCCTTTCTGACATTTTTTTTTTATGTTCCGGTAATGAAACAGACGCTTGAAAGTCTTCAGTCATCCATACCTGTACAAATTTTGTAGCTAGCAGTCTTTTGCAAACAGTTGTATGTTCTTTCGCAAAGCACTCCCTATACAAATATGCTCTGTGAGCAATACGCAAGTAAAATTTTGAACACGAATTATAAGGCTCGTATGGGTGCACTAGTGTGGGTAACAAGAGAAAAAATTTTGCTTGGCTGTGTGTATTTATTCAACCGTCAAATCTGAAACACTGGTTGGCTGCAAGCAGAACATTCATGCAGCATTCTCGTTTAGCAAAATGTCATTTGATTGATTTGTGGGGTTTAACGTCCCAAAACCACCATTTGATTATGAGAGACGCCGTAGTGGAGGGCTCCGGAAATTTTGACCGCCTGGGGTTCTTTAACGTGCACCCAAATCTGAGCACACGGGCCTACAACATTTCCGCCTCCATCGGAAATGCAGCCGCCGCAGCCGGGAATCGAACCCGCGACCTGCGGGTCAGCAGCCGAGTACCTTAGCCACTAGACCACCGCGGCGGGGCAAAGCAAATGTCATTTCATGTATCACTATTTGCGATTAAAATGCTTAAAGATCCTTGCTGCCTTGCTTTGCAAATGACAAAAAAAAAATCCATGCTGTGTTCTCTAAAATGATTTCCTTCTATAAATATGGGGCGAGCAAAACATGGAACATTTATTTTCTGCACTGCTATTATTTTTCAGAACATTTATACTTGGAGCAGTAAATTGTCACTGGAAATTCAGGTGTAAGTGTGGACACCGTAATAGTATAAGTTGTATGTGTAAAGGCGTGTCTACAATAGAGGAACTCGACACTTATTTCGGTCGGCTTTTTTCGGAGCGTTTTTTGTCTAGTCATCGGCCGATGTACACTGCAACGACACAAACAGTCTGCCTATGGTCTCAGGGAGGCTCCGTTCGCGCCTTGTCATGCCTACAGCCTTAAGTTGGCCAATTCTCAATTGGAGTCACACTGGGGGGCACACGCATTGACACCTACTAAATTTACACAAAAAATTTGTGACTGCTTCTCATTTTCAGCCATCCTCCGGGCGTTCCCATTCTCCCTTTTGGGGTGAAGGGCCAGGGGGTCGGGACAGACAAAGACAAAGCGAAGGAATGACTTTTGTGGAGTGCACAGGCTGACCATTGAAGGAGCCCTCCAACACTATTCAACCCCCTATGTTTTATACGTGTGTTGTGTACACTGAAGTACACACTAATGCAGCAAGTTATTTGACTTAGAAAATTCAAAATACAAAAACCACAGTGTGGACCCTCAACTCGATTTTCACAGGGTCACTTGACCGCATTTCACTTGCCCGTGTCGTTGGAGGGCTACCCCAACTAAATAAGCTGGAAGCGCCTACTCAGGGGAACCTCGCACCTCACTGTTGCTTGTTTCTTTTTTCTTTTGCAAAGTAATGTTGACCTTGTTGCTATCATAATTGATGTCTTGCTTGACGCATGGCTTGCCAGAGCGTGAGTGAGAGCTGCTGTGTCGAAGCGAGGCGTTTTCTGCTGTTTTTTACAATATCCCAAGTCACTTTCTCTTATTCTGAGAAAGGTATTTGTGGAACCAGAACAGTGAAGTACTGTAGAGGCTTCGCGTGCTGTTAGATGAGCCTCCCAACAAACAATGGTGCACTGCACCTCTTTTACAGTGCATGTGCAGAAACAGATTGCTCGTATACTGAAGAAAACAAGAAGAGGGAAGAAAGAAAAAGAGGTGCTTCGTATGGACATCTGACCCGCGCAAGCTAAAAATCCAGTGCCGAAATGGCAGCCAGCATCTCTGTCATGCTTTGTAGTCACCGTGAGCTTTTTTATTGTGGTTGCGTCTGTTCAGGGTTTGATGAAGAAGCACAGAGAAGAAAAATCAAACAGATTAGTAACCTCAGTTTTATCCTATACCACGATCGCTTCTAGCGTTACATTTATACAATAATATGCGGCAATCTCTAGTGTCATTTCCGCCCGCAAAGTTCAGGTGAGCGCCGCTACGTGCGATAAAGTCGGCAGCGATGTGTAGTTTGTTGCGTAATTAAAATACCGAATCAACGGCTAATGGCACTTAGACCTATGCTAAAATTATTTCCACCTATCGGTCTCTGCAAACCACAAATAAAAAATAGCTTGTTTAATAGTGTTCGAGAACACCTTTAAGTAGTGTGCGAGACCTCTGCCTAAGATCTCTCTCTAAGTTCTTAGATTGAACGACAAAGGCAAGTTTTTGCTCGACAATCGATCTTCTGACAATCTGCGGGTGACAAGTCTGCTAGTACGCTTTGCTGGTGTTTTCGGTCTGCCATCATATTACACGACGACAACGAGCTGTCTTTCGAAGCGTCATTGTTTTCGGCTCAGTGTGACCAGATTGTCAGGTGCCATTGTCGGTGGGTAGCTCAGCCGATCGTCTGCGTCGGGGTCGTGTCAGCGTCGGGTCGCTGTAGTGCAAACACGTCTTAAGCAGACCAGTGAGTGCAAGCACATGTGTAAATATAACCATAAATGCAGACCACAACGAACATCATGGTCTGGCTCAGCTTGTGCATGGAGATTTCATAGTGTGGGCAGTTGTGCTGTAAAATATTTAACATCTCTAACTTCTTCTTACATTTCCTTGAATAAATCTCGCAAGGATTGAGCCAAGTGGTAGTTCCGAAACTTTTTCAGGACATAATTGTGGAAAGCTTCACCTCCTACTTCACCAAAGTGAGCTTTTATCATAGCACATGTATTGTTAGGTCGAAGTAAGATATGGACTTGCCAATTTAGCTATAAAGTTGCACTTTTGTTTGCTTAGTGTTGTGCACAAGGCAAATGACTGGAAGCATTGCATATCATTGACCTTGCCACACTACTGAGGACAACAATGTAGTTTCACTGTGCAAAAAAGCTGTGGGTATAACGAATGCTCCTTTTTGTGCACTCAGAATTTCTCTAGCTTTCAGTATCTTTGAAATGGCACTCAAATGGTGTGCTCAAGTGTACATGAAAAAGTTTTCTCAGCTACTAGTGGCAAGTAGGTGATCTAGCATTGAGTAACTTCAGAGCATCTGTGCAGCTGCTGTGAGAAATGAGGCTCTGATGATAGCTGGTGCATAATCACCTATATTTGGCAAACTTTCCCATTTTTCATGAGATAGCGTTTTGTTATTTCACATGTGGGGTCTATCCACTTTCTCTCACCATAAATGCTACCAAAAGCATGCCTCTGAAGTAATGTTTTAGCTGAGCTGCATTAACGACTAATTGGAAATAAAAAAATTTTCTTCTGTGCTTGCAACTTGCTTCTAGCACCGAATTGTCGTACACTCTCAATGAGATTGCTGTTTTGCCGCATGAACAATTATCAACTCACTTTCACAGATTTTTTTTGTCATTTTTAGATTTGTTGAATTTGTTTCTCTATGGAAATAAGTTCCTTTTTTTCATGCCCCTTCTTGATATATATATATATATATATATATATATATATATATATATATATATATATATATATATATATATATATAGATAGATAGATAGATAGATAGATAGATAGATAGATAGATAGATAGATAGATAGATAGATAGATAGATAGATAGATAGATATAATGTGTGTGTTTGCGTTTCGTCCTTAGATTACCCTTTCTCGGATGAGGGAGGGGATGACCCTGAACTACCACGTCTGCAAGCAGACACAGGAGCTGGGATAGCTGTGCGTGACCAAGTTATTCAGGCCATGCGTTCATTGGCTGAGCAGATGGTATGGCAGCTAAAGTTTTTCTTTAATGTACAATATGTATACAAAAAACTTTACCTCTTCATGTTGTCTTCATTTTCCAAGTAGCAGTTAATGCCGTAACGTAGGCTGGAAAAGGTAACGTGGTCACAATAGTTTGCCATGCCGAAATATGAACTATTGCTTTGCCAGGCACTTGTTCCACACTTGCTGATGCTGACTTCTGTCTCGTCACCTTGTCCATGCTGTTTACAGTCGGTAAGGAAAGGAAACCGTGATAGACATTCCTTTCTGCTTCTTTCCTTCTGCACTGCATTGCTGACTTAAAAGGATAAGCTGTGTTAAACCTCGTCATTCTATTAGTCATATATGTAAAGCAGACGTGGAATTAGTACCTGCAAAATATGGGGCTGTCGCATCCAAAAGGGCTTGAGAGTAATATATTAAGATACTGTTTTTCAATTTACTGTTAGACGATCTACCAGGTGTAGCTACATTGTGCATATTGGGTACTTTTATAGGCCTGTAGAGGCACAAAAAATTTTGTGGCCTTATTGCCTCCTTCTTGGCTACTATTCGCCCCTAGATTAGTTTAAGAGTGGTGATGCAGGCAACGGTATTTCATTATATGTTTCCAAAACATGGCAGTGGAAGTGTGCGTTGAGCTCCGAATGTTCAATTTTGCTCTTTCATTAGAGTATTTAACTTTATCTGGAAGATTGGTGCAGTGGCCTAATAAAATGGAAAGGTCAGTGTCAGA